TCTCAGTGAATTTGGAATGATTAGTTGGTAATATGCCTGTCATAATCATGAAATCATAGTTGACTGTTAACTGACATTTAAATAATTGCGATTAACATTTGTCTTTTCTGTTCATTGTGTGCCACTGTTAAAGTACAAGCCTAAAGTGGCCATTTTGGCTGATTTAGTTATTTTGCCTCGTAGTTGTCAATGCTCAGTCGCTCCAAAACTGTTGAGACACACCTCAAGTCGAAATAAACAAACTTCTCACTGCTGCCTTTTAAAAACATTACAGCACCAGTCAGAACTTCTGTTGTTTTTGTGAGAACCATAACACGCCTTAATAAATACATTTTCTTTTATTTACATGCATTTGTCTCAGCCCAATTCTCATTCTATTTGTTCTGATGTGAACCTGTTGTGAAAACAAACAACTCCGGAAAGTAATAGCAGTCAGCACAAATAATTGTGATCAGGTGATTTGTGTATTGTGATGGGAGTAGTTGGCAATTGATTAAAATGTATAATTAAAATTCTACCTTAGAACTTTTACAGTAAATAGACTTTTTTTCCTGACACATTGTGCTTACATATATATATATATATATATATATATATATATATATATATATATATATATATATATATATAAAACTTAATTGCTCGATCAGCTTGCTACATTATGACCAAGTAAAAAGCAAAGCCTGCTCCCATTTTAACCCCAATACCACAAGGCAACTTCCCACGCAAACGCAGTGCTGCATATGTGCAGTTTCACACTTCACTATTGACATAGCAGGGTGAGCGGAGGGCCACTAAACTACTGTCCTCCATTTGCTTAGCACACACTCACAAGTCTTATTTACACCATTTTACACCTAGCTTACACATACAAAATGCTCAGCTCCATTTGCACAGCTGAAGTTTTTATTTAACTGTATGGGAAAGTAGCAGTAAATACTGTAGGCGTAGACTCTCACAGCATACAGCACACCCCAGGGGTCATTTTTATACTGCATACAAATGTAGATTAACTGGTTGTGCAGTTTTGGGTGCAGAATGTAGATGGATGCGGAAGGTTTCGTTCAGGTAGTTCTGTTTTTTGGTGTGGCCACGTTCAGTTTCTCACTTCTGTCTGCTGTGAAACTTTTTGTTACCTTTGGACCAAACTACCCCCACCTTTAATCAATACACTGAGACCAGTGGGGTGGAAGGATGGCTGGGTGGGTGGGTGCCTCAGCTCTTACTCCTTAAAACTTTGATTGATATTTCTATTGATCACCCCCCCCAGCTCCCCCTTGCCCCGCTTTGCCTGATGAGGGTGATAACGACTCTCTCCTTCATTAGGCAGATTTCAGAACACAAGGTACTGCACTTTGCACCTTCCATACAGCTTGTCAGTGGCTCTTGTCCCAATCCACATTTACCCTTATCGTGGACTTCTACTCCTCTACTTTAAGCTGTATCGCTTAGCTCATGTCTAGATGTCTATCTCTAGTCATGTTAAATTGGAAAAAGTGTTGCTTAAATGCTTTTGAAAGATGTAAAACCTTGACTTAAGGCCCAAACAAGGAATTACTGATAGTGTTACAACAGTAGTGTCAGCTGTATGGACAGAAAGCATGCACAGTGTAACAATTTATATATTAGTTGATGATGCTACTTGAAAACCTCTATCATTGCAATGAATTCTGATGCTTCCAAGTTAAAGAGCTGATGTAATTTAAAAAAACAGATTTTAGTTTAGATTCTGTCAGTATTGAACCTCTTTTTGCCTTAACTTCTTTAACCTTTATGAATGAATGGTCTATGTAAACTTCTCTGTGTACTCGCAAACTTGATCTTGCATCAATTCCTACTACATACTTTTCACTCTCTGTAAAATAGACACAGGGGTTTCTTGGCTATCCTCCTGTCTGGTTCAGGCCATTTTTCTTATCCCCACCCCTTTCTTTCTAAATTGGGTGGGGTTTTACAACTAGGCCCCTCCTTTCCCCAGCGCTGAGTATTTGAGTTCTCTGCCCTCCCACATCCACAGAACAAAGTTGGAGATTATCAGAGCACACCGTGTGTGCGTTTTTAGAAGTTAGACAGTGCCGCTCAGGCGGACAAAGAAGTTTTAGGGGTACAGAACTGTTGTTTTTTTTAACCCCTTTCCTCTGCTTAATTTTTTTTTCATTCGAATTTCTGAACTGTTTGTGGACTATCGCTAACTCTTGGGAATAGAACAACCTTACCAGTGGATTTTACTGAAAGAAATGGTGGCTTACGATGAACCTGGTGTGGTGCCTATCAAACGGACTCTACAGAACATAGACTACCAGAACCAGGCTTGTAAAGAACTTGAGGTGAGATTCAGATGCTTAAAGATGACATTATACCATATAACTCTGGCTGTATTTTCCCACTTTGTACATAGAGGAACACGTTTGTTCCCACTGTGTTATCAGTTGAGTCAGAACCTTGTCCTGGCTCTTATCTTCACCTTAACAACGCTGTTCTGTGAAGGCCATGCAGGTGTGTTTCTCTAAGGTGTGTGTTAGACAGAGTAAATGTGTACGTGTTACAAATCGTAGCCTCCGAAGGAGGTCAAAGGTCTGCTACCTGTGGCCACAGGACTAGCCGATTTTGACTTGTTGTCTAGATATAAGAGCATTTTGGACTGGCCTGCTTTAATGGTCAACCATGTGTAAATGAATGTGCCTGGACGGAGTGAATGAGTGACTGCAGACCTGAATCACAGGTAAAGCAGATCGGTGGACTGAGGTGCCCTCAGGGCTGCACACACTGGGATAAAAAGCATTCCAGCAGCTTCACAGCAATGACAGACTATGGCAGCCCACAACCCAGGTGTGCCCCCCACCCCTGCTCCACCCAGGCTTGCTGAGAACTGCAGCTATACTGTGAGGAAAGAGGATTTAGATAAAGAGCTGGTTTGCTAAGTTCTGTACTTTGGGTGCTTCTTCCCTTTTGTGGTTTCGGCTCCGGTGATTCAGAAGTGGAGAGAGAGAAGTGGTTGCTTTTCCAGGAAAGCTGAACGAGAAGTCAGGCAGAACTATGAATGAGTGAAGTAATTTAGGAACTGGTGTCCTCAGACTTTATTTTTAGTGGTTGCCTCATTCCGCAGCACACACTACGTTTTCTTCTCCTTTTTTTAAAGTTACCCAGCAGTTTCGCAATAATGCACTCAGCCTTTTTATTGATCAGTAGTTTGAACATTGGTGTGGTCTGCATTGCAAATCAATGGTTATTCAGCAGGGGAATAAATAGGGGACACCCAAATCCCCTCCCCACCCCCCTTCATCCCCAGCGAAGACCACAGTCAGACCAACAGTAGTGTAAACTGGTTCCTCAGGGGGGCTTCCTGGGGCCCGGGCCTGCTCTCCTGCGAGCTCCCTCACAGTCAGCAATGCCAGAAATAGCTGCTCCTATCTGTCTATCTGTCTGCCTACTTGTTTCCCTTTCCAAAAGCTAATATACAGTTGAGGGGGACATTTTGTTATTGGAGGGCCACTTAAAATGACAGGAAAAATGCTGTCGGCAGCTGAAACCTTGCCAAGGTTTATTTAAAGCCTCTGATCACTTCATCAGTTCATTCTTTTGCCTCATTAGCTCATGCGTTTAATTTTAGTTGTCAGCCTTTATCAACAAGTCAGCCTTCTTCTAATCCAATATAAAGGTTTTCCCCCCTTGGACCACCTGTGAAGATTCATATGTGATCTTTCAGCAGAAGAATAGCAGGGTGAATTATTTGGTCTGTTAGTCTGTCTGGTGGTCTCAGATAGCCAAGTTTGTCCTCAGTGGAGGTTCCGGCTAACGTAAACTAGTGGATCTACTGTGCAGCTGTTTGTACTGGTCAGAGCCTGAAAAGCAGGACTGTTCATCAGTCTCATTTTGGCAAGCTGAACACAGCCCCTATTACAGTGCTGTGGACAGGAAGCCAAGTGTCCATATTTAATAATGCATTTGAAATGGATTACGCACATAAACAGTTGTCAGTGTCATACCGTGAAGTTGTAGTGCAGTCTATTTTCCCGCATCAAGCTCCAGAGTGTTTTAAGACAGTGATTATAGTTTAAAGTAATCCTGCATGTCTGCTTTGACTTTTTCCTCCTCCCCTTGATGGTTTGTTGGGGTTGGCTCAAGTCCCAGTCATTATGGGGTTCAGGTGTGCTTCTCCCTCTCACGCAAAAGCCCTGTAGGGCCTGTCTCAACATGAGACTGTCAGCCTCACTCGAGGATTACAAGAGAAGCATGAAGGAAAAATGGAAGGGCAGTATGGAGGAGGTGGGGTGGGGGGTGGTTTAAGTACGCCTTGTTTACCAGGCTTGGGTCTGTTCCCTTGGTCTGGACTCAGGCATAGACATATGTATATCAACGATAGCCCTTCAACCTCTGTGGAAGTGAATTAAACAAGATAACAGAGGATTATAACGTTTTGCTATTGTCTCCCTTATGCTGCAAAGAAATTATGCGTTTGTGTCAGCACAACTGAGCAAGGGGTCTTGAGCATTCCACAGATGCCTACAGACCCCCTGATCTCTAGGGCTACAGGCAGAAAGGGCCCTTTGTGCATTTATTTTTTTTTCTTTCTTGCTGAGGGGTCTTCCACACGTGATGTACCCAACAGCTGCTGTCTCCAGGGATTCCAGCTTCTGCCTGCATGTCCACAGCCCAGGAAACGCCAGCCAGTCTGACCCCAAATCCACCCCTTTAGCACCTCTCTCCTTTCCTTTCCTCTCCTCCCTCCTTCCATCCATCTTTCCCCTAGGCGGTGGAGTCCAAGAGGAAAGTGTGTCCTATGACTGGTCATGCACCTCCTTGTTTTCATGTGAGATTAGTCAGCCGACCAGCTCCCGTGTCCTCTGGCTATTTCCAAGCTTCATTCTGATTGTGTCATAAGACGCAGTTTAGTTGTTAATTATGTTAAAGTAATTGTGGTCACTTGTGGTCATATAGGTAGATACAGATGGAATATTAATTTTGTTTTTTTTGGGTTTTTTTTTTTCTCCCTCTTAAAGGAACCCAGTACTAAGCGCGTGCGGCCACTGGGCCGAGTCACCTCGCTGGCGAACCTCATCTCCCCCGTGAAGAATGGGGCCGTCCGCCGCTTCGGCCAGACCCTCCAGGCCTCGTTTCGGGGCGACGGGCGGTCCCCAAGCGTGCCCCAGCACAAGGCCTGCAGCAAGGCAGCGGCACCCACACCCCCCAAGCGCCGTAACAGCACGCTGTGGTCCGAGACCCTAGACGTACACCAGAAAGGAACCTTCTCCACCAAGGAGATCAAGCGACAGGAGGTGAGTGTGGCTAAAGTTGGAGAAAAAGAACAGCACAGAACAACCCAGACTACGAAATCCCCCCTCCCAGCCAGACGCTACTGAATCAGGCCAAGAGACTTATTAAACCCTGAGGGCCTAGGGCTTGGACGCTTTCCTATTTTTTTTTTTTCTCTCTCGCTGGGGCTGGCTTTGTTTATTTGGTGTGCTCTGGCTGAGCAGAGTGGAATAGAGCATTGCAACTGAATTTTCATACCTCACAGCCAGACACTCTGAGCTAACAGAGGCCCACTGGTGTGACTCACAGACCTCCACTCTCTAGCCTCCTTAGACAGACATTACAGCAAACGCAAATGCGTTTGCTAAAGTGGTCTTTTTGGCTTGTTGATCATTTTGTTACTAACATACTAAATATCTGAAGTAACACGTCATGTTGTTTTCTGTTTATTCAGGCAATCTTTGAGCTCTCTCGGGGAGAGCAGGACCTGATTGAGGACCTCCAGCTCGCTCGCAAGGTTGGTATCTTTTTGGATTAGTGCTTACGAAAGTCAGTATGCAAACAGGTTGTGCAAGAGACTGGCTGTGCTCTCAAAAAGTCTAAACAGTTGCCTTTTCTAAGTTTAAGATTACAGTGGACTGTTATGAACCGATTGATTGATTGATTCTTTGTTTACAGGCATACCATGACCCAATGCTGAAACTGTCAATCATGTCCGAGGAGGAGCTAACGGCCATTTTTGGTGATCTGGACGCTTACATCCCACTTCATGAAGGTGAATATAACACTCCATTTCTCCTGTCCTTGTGTCTGTTTGTGTTTGTAACATTCAGTGACACTAACATCTCACCCTCCTGCCAGATCTGTTGGCTCAGTTGGCGAAGGCTACAGGCCCTGACGGCACAGTGGGAGAGATCGGCCAAATCGTAGTCAACTGGGTAAGAGCTACAAGTGCAGTTTCATTCCTCTCATTATGTAGTATTAAAAGTGAGATTTAAGTCACTGACACCCCCCATCTCTCCATAGCTGCCGAGACTGAACGCATATCGGGCGTACTGCAGCAACCAGCTGGCAGCCAAGGCCCTTCTAGACCAGAAGAAGCAGGACCCACGGGTGCAGGACTTCCTGCAGCGCTGCTTGGAGTCGCCCTTCAGCAGGAAACTGGACCTGTGGAGCTTCCTGGACATCCCCCGCTCGCGCCTGGTTAAATACCCACTCCTGCTGAGAGAGATTCTCAGACACACGCCGCCCGAACACCCGGACACCACCAGCCTTGAGCAAGCTGTGAGTAGAAATAGAGCAATACAGAGAGAGAGAGAGATACGCAAGCACATTTACAGAAGTTTTGCCTGTGGAGACATTAGGGAGTAGTTTCTAAATGGTCTTGTATGTTTACATCCTTGCAGGTCAGCATCATTCAGGGCGTGCTAGCAGATATTAATATGAAGAAGGGCGAGTCTGAGTGCCAGTACTACATTGATAAGCTGGAGTATCTGGATGACAGACAGAAAGACCCACGCATAGAGCAGTGCAAGAGCCTGCTATGTCATGGGGAACTGCGCAACAAGAGTGGAACGGTAAGTCTTGCACATACAGACACATCACTTTTTCTGCCTGTGTCCTCATGAGAATTATCGCAAATCATTAACCAGTCATGCAACACCCAATTCTAATCTTTCTAAACGATGACACAGTGACCCAGGAATTTCTGTAATGATTACAACATGGGAGGCAAAGAAAATACTTGGTTTCTGAGTGTCTACACAGTCTGCCCAACAGTCTTTAATCTCTCTAATCTGTCTTTTCTGCTCTGCTCTGCAGAAACTGCATGTGTTCCTTTTTACCGAAGTTCTGGTCGTAACTCGGCCTGTGACGCGGAACGACCGCCACTGTTTCCAAGTATATCGCCAGCCCATCCCCGTGCAGGACCTAGTGGTGGAGGACCTGCAGGACGGAGACGTGCGCATGGGCGGCTCCTTCAGAGGGGCCTTCAGCAATGCTGACAAAGGTGAGATGAACTTTTTCTCCTGCAGCCTTGCTGCATTCAGTGCTGTAACTGTATAACATAAGAGCTGTGGGCTCTCAGCACTTAGACGAAATATCAGAACCGATATATCACATTAGCCTAAGTGATTGACAGCACAGTTTGGTTATATAATGACATGAGAAGGACCCTAGTTATGTAAAGGACTTTGTCATGTTGGTTTTGGCTATTGCTTAATCTGCAGCGCCTCTTTTTTCGCATTCATTTATTTTAACACTGCTCATTATCTCTCTCCTCCTGCAGCCAAGAACATCTTCCGTGTTCGCTTTCAAGACCCAGCGCAGGGCCAGTCTCACACGCTTCAGGTCAATGACATTTTCCACAAGCAGCAGTGGCTCAACTGCCTGCGCAGCGCCATGTCTGTCATCCAGAGCGAAGCCCCGGCTACCAACACTGATGTCCGCTCCAAACGCCGCTCCTCCACAGCATCTGCCGTTGTCCATATGGAAGAGACTGATGAGAACCAGCCCCAAAGTGCAGCCACAGCGCCCAGCTCACCTGAGAGTGACGAACCCCCCAGTCCTACTCCCTCTGCCACCTCCACCCTCTCTACCTCTTCAACATCCTCCTCAACCTCCACATCCCCACCCCGCAAATCCAAAAAGGACAAGCGTGTGCTCTGTTCGCTGGGTAAAAGGAAGGAGACAATGGTTTAGTACTAACCAGAGGACTCTTCCAGGACTTAAGCTCATCCCTGGACAAGCCCAGGGTACAGCGGACTTGTATTTATGTGTGTGTTGGAACCAAGTGGTTCTGCAGCAGTGTTTTTGTGTTACTGTCCTTAATGGCAGCTATACCCCCTCCACTCCAACCCGTCCCACAAGGGAACGAATCCGTACCAGTGACATGCAGGACTCTCAAGACGGACTGCGTGTTGTGATCTCAAGGGATCGATCACAAGAAAAGATTCACATGCACATATTCTGTAAGAGACTGTGAGCGAGTGAGCGTGAGATCACACATCTCCTGTTTACTGTTAGTTAGGTATTATTTTTGATTTTGTTTGTAATTAAAGTTCTACCTTTTTTATATATATTTTCAATCAGAAATTTACTGTAGCTCTTTCATTTTCATTGAACCAGCACTGTTTAGCTTTCAGCTGAAAAAAATTGAGGATATTCAAGAAAAGCAATAAAGTATGAACACAGCAAAGAAATGAAGAAATTGGAACTCGGAAACGTCCGATATTGCCAAAAGTCTGATTCAGAGCTCTGTTGGAAGAGTCTTATTTCAGTACATTCCTATCAACCTTTGTTTCATCACCCAGACTCTTCAGCTGTATATGATTTATGACAGTTGGCATTAATTTAAATCCAATAGTTTTATTTTTTTTTTCTTTTCAAAAACCAAAAGAAATGGCAGTGAAATAGTCATGTAATTTACACTGTTGACAGATCAAAATATGTGGTATTTTATTTTACTCATGTAAAATTAAAACTGAGCCATGTTGGCTTTTTTATTACGAAAGCTGACTCCCCCCAACATGAAATGGTTTATTTTTCAATGTAGCATCTTGCATGGAGCTTTACTTGTGGAGTCCTGCCTGTGTGTGCAGAATGGACCATGGCATGTATATGCTTGTCTAAGCACAGGAGTTCACTTAAACAACAGTCACCGATTGCTGGCAAGGAACCTGTAAGTTGTATGAGGGCTTGAGAAATGTTGACGCAAGAATTGATGGAAACTTTGTATTGTATTAGATGAGAAGAGACTGACTTTGATTCAAGGCACTACACACAACCACAGCTGTTGGTCTGATTGTGTTTTTGTTGTAGTCTCTTGAGCAAAGTATGAAAGTTTGATGCGCTGGTGAAAAGCCTGCGAGTGTTGTTTTCAAAGAAAGATAAAAAGCATGTTACTAGAAAGGTGGAATTGTTGAAGGTTGAAGAACGTCACAAGAGCATGAAATCAGTTTGTATAAAAGACAAAGGAATATGTTGAACTTTGAAAGACTGCAGTGGGCTTGTAAATGTGTTTTGATGTAAAAAGAAAAAAGCAATAATTAATGGAACAATAAAGGTCTGTGTAAGATTTGCATCTGAAAATGGATTTTGTGTCTTTCCTTGTCCTTTTCCAAACCAGAATGTATGTCTGAATGGCTGCAAGGTTCCAGCCTCATGCCTTTCAAAGCAAAACAAGTAAAGGTTACCAAAGAAGGATACCCTCATTCCTTAAAAAACTGCATCTGTTTCAATTTCAAACGAAATCAAAAGCCAGTGAATCCAAGAAATACAGCCCATGAGTTGGCATGGTGCCCTGATTGTCAACAAGCTGAAACTGCATACAGCCTCTTGCTTAGTTTAAGCCACAATTAGCCACTCATTTAGCAACTTTAGTGCTTGTACAGGCTATGTGGTAGACCACTTCCATTACTCATCTATTTGTGTTTCCAGTGAATTCTTCAAACCCGTTTCACCAGCAACGAAGGAATAGCCCATCGTGGCAGGGCGCCTAAAACACCTTCCATTTTGCGCCCCCCCCCCAAACTTAGTTCACTTCCAGGACGGTCCAGAATGCCACTTGGCAGCTGTATAAAGAAAGCAGGTCTCCATTAAACAGATTCTTCCATCTATCTCTCGATCTCTCGTTCCAAGGCCTCGCTCTCTGACGCTATTTAGCTCAGCCTTAATCTTTCTGCAGCAGCCCCGGTGATGAACGGCCCGTCCGGAGCCACTTTACACATCCAGAAGCATGCTCCCGCTTTGTCTCACACCTGATGACCAATCATTGAGGCTTTGTTGGTTTACGCTCACAGTGAAGAATGCGACAGGCTTCGAGCAGATGAGCTCATGGGTTGGAGCGAGACTCTGAGGGCCTCACTCTAAACACTTTTACACGACTTGACCGGCCTCGCTCTAATTGGTTCCTGCATCGGATGGTAGCGCTGGTTTTTAGGGCCTCTGGTTTTTATATGGAAACTGCCTCATGTCTGCCTTCTAGCGATGAGGGAATTCTTTGACTGTTCATTTTTTGCCTACGGTGCCCGTCTGCTGTTGCCTATTTACATTAATGAAAGTCTAATGCATGCTGGCATGAGGGCTCCGGAGGTCAGCCGCTGGACACATGCTTGGCAGTGTAGTGACGTCTGTGCAATGTAAGCCTCGATTGTGGAGGAATACATTGTGGCGCATTATTGTGGTTTGCTGTGAGAGGAGAAACTAAGCATTTGTACTTTGGAAGTCAAAACCGAAGCCACTATCATTTTACAACAGAAAACAGATGATGCATGTACTGCGAAGTGTGGGTCTGACAGGGCGACCCTGTTATAAAAATAACCGTCGTCGATCAAAATCAAGCCATGTTTGTTTCTTATTTTGGTGACACTTGAAATGTAGAGTGATGAGCCATAATGGAACGTCCTGGAAAATCCTTTTAAAAAGCGATGAATCACTTAAAGGCAGGCCCAAGCATCTGCTGCTGTTTGCTTTACGCCCGTAGCGTCTCTAAACAACCGGAGGAGAGCTTGTAGGTGATAAAAGGGTTGGACATGTTGTTAATACGAAAAATCCCAGTTGCATAACGTTGTCTGTGTCTTCAGTGTGCACTTTTCAAATGACTAGTTACACAACGTACAGCCTGGGACACATGCAGTCACGCAATATGAAGCTATTGGGGTCAACGACACCATATAGACAGGGACAATAATACAGCCAAACAAAAGATTGGCTAGTCTATTGTTGTTCTGTATATTAGGTGACCGTGTGCTGATAAATGGCAGCTTTCGGCTATTAGATCCCTGGTGGGAACTGATCTGTGCTGATCTGTTTGTTTTGTGGGTCACTTCACTACATACACGATACAAGCCGATGACAACTAAATTACACTTCACTCTTCGAAGCTTTCAGGGCGCAGGACTGGTTATGACGGGGCACAGAGGTGTTATCCAGTCATCACTTTGAACTGTTGAACTGAGCAGGGAAATGACTGGCAGAAACAGCTGTGCACTCGCGTACCATAGAGCAGAACCCACTCATTTGTGAATTTTTACTGAAAGTAGCGTCATACAGCAGTGGTCACCAACACTGATCCTGAAGATCTACCTTCCTGCACAGTCTAGTTCCAACCACAGTCTGCCTGCTCCAGCTCATTAACTTCATCAGAAGTCCTTGATCGGTGGGATAAGATGCAGTAGTGGGGGTGGCAGCATCTTAGATTAAGGTTGGAACTAAACTCTGCAGGAAAGTAAATCTCCAGGAGGGTTGGTGACCACTGTCACATCATTATTACCTGGGCAGATTAGCCCACTGAGACCTAGAATTCATTTACAGCGGGGTCCTGTAAAACATAAAATACATTACAATAATATAGTAAACAGAAATGATAACAAACATGAAATATGTCAATAAGTCAATTAGAACAAACAAAATAAATAAAACAAGCCAGAAATTACATAGAATTACACTGACAAATCTACCAAATTGGTACAAGTATTTTAAGTTGACTAAAAGAGTTGTGTTGTAGCGCTCAGTTGAACATTAATCCACAGTTTATTGCCAGATTCTGTAGATGAGAACGGTACATTCAACACCAGCCAGTCATTATTTCTGATACATATTTCATTTGTTCTAACTGTACGGAAAGATGAAATATATGATGGAAGCTGTTTCAACAACGCTTTATAAATAAAAAAACAATAAACGCTGCTTCCTTCTTATGTATGAAAATGACAAACTATATGGAACCTGTTTTAAAAAAAGGGATCTATACAGCACCAAAAAGGGTTCTTCTATTATTATGATGTCAAGCTTGTAACAACAAAGAGCCTTTTTTGATGCTATATAGATCCCTTTTCAAACAGGTTCCATATAGAACCATATACAACACATTCTCCAATCTAAAGAACCATTTCACCATGCAAAGAATGGTTTAAGCATGAAAAGGGTTCTTTGAGTGTGCATGGTTCTATCTAGAACCATTTTCTTTACTAAAGAACCCTTGAAGAACTTGTCTATATAAGCTGTAAGATTACTTGCCAAACTATTGCTTCAAACTGTCGGAGAGAAAATGACTGGCATAAACAGCTGCGTGTTCAGGACCATAGAGTGAAACCGATTATACTCGCACACAAAACGTTTCATGTAGGCTGACCTCTTCTCTATTGACCCTGAGGTCCCAAAAGCAATAAATGAATCAGCTAAAGCTGGAAAGTGGTGTGGATTTCTCTTACATCTGATGACTCACACAGCCTCACAGATAGGTCGGTGATGATGCTCGTTCCTTTCACTAATTTGACCCTCAGGAGGGCGCATTATTTCACACATAGGTCAGGTTTCAACCCAAAACACGCATGGTAAAACGAGCAGTGGACTTCATGCTCCCTCCCTCTGTGATTCAAACACTCGGCCTTGATGACTAGAGGCTTTGGTCAAGGTGGAGCCCTGCTGGGCACTGACTCCAAGCCAAGGAAGCAGGAGAAAGTCAGGAAGGAGGATCTGGTAACCCCTCTGCAGTTATCTGTGGGAAAGCCTGTCTCACCCTTCTGTAACCGAACTCTGACAAATGGAGCACACTTGTAGGTCAGGAAGAAGACACTGTCTAAGAGAGAGAGAGAATTGTGGATCATTCTACCAAACTGTTTCAAAGTCAGAGTTATAAAACACATTTCAGACTTTTGACACACTTGAATTTAGACTAAAATAATTTTGGTCTGATTGACCCTAAACCTTACTTATTATTATATTTACTTTACTAAAATAAATGATTCCATTTTTTATTTCAAAATGTAGCTCAAAGCTAAATCTATGTTTTAAAGGAAATCAAAAATACCTTTAAAACATGGAAAAAACACTATATATGCAAACACACCCACACACACACCCACACCCCCCCACACACACACACACACACATATATATGTTGAAATTTAGGGGTTAGTCTTTTGGACATTTAAAGACATAGTTTGGGAATTTGGTGTTAAGTGGGGTTGAGGTCATGGCTCTGTGCAGGCCACTGGAGTTCCTCCACACCAAACTCATCAAATGTCTTTATGGCCCTCACATTATGCACAGGGACATAGTCATGCTGAAACAGCAAAGGGCCTTGAAGGCATTGAATTGCCTGAAATGTCTTTGTATGCTGTTGCATTAATTTTGCCCTTTACTGGAACTAAGGAACCCACTTGAAGTTCACTGAAAAAGCAAACCCTGTAAAACAGCCCCCAGACCATTATCCCTCCTCCACCAAACTATACTGTTGCCACTATGCACTTCATTCAGTAGGTTGTGTTCTTCTGGAATCTGCCAAATCTGGTCTGCCAAAATAGTGAAGTGTGATTCATCACTCCAGAGAATGCTTCCACTGCTCCAGAGTCCAGTGGCGGCGTGTTTCATACCACTCCAGCCACACTTGGCATTGTGCATAGTAATCTTAGGCTTGTGTGCAGCTGCCCAGCCATAGAACCCATTTTTGATGCTCCTGATGTGCAGTTCTTGTGCTGATTTTGCTTCCAGAGGCAGTTTGAAACTCTGTAGTGAGTGACACTACAATGAGGCAATTTTTACACACTTCAGCATTCTGCAGCCCTGCTCTGTGAATTTGTGTGGTAAACCCCTGTGTCTGAGCTGTTGTTGTTTATAGACACTTCCATTTCACAATAATAGCACTTACAGTTGACTGGGGCAGATCTGGCCAGGCAGACATTTCACAAACTGGCTTGTAGCAAAGGTGGCATCCTATGAGAGAGCCACATTTAAGGTCACTGAGCTCTTCAGTATGACCCATTCTAATGCCAGTGTTTGTCATGCGGAGACTGCAAGGCTATATGCTTGATTTTATACACCTGTTAGAAATGAGTGTGTCTAAAACACCTAAACTCAATAATTAGGAGGGGTGTCCACATACATTTGGCCCCATATATCACTCTCTCTATACATATAGAAATAAGTAGAGAGAGAGAGGAAGATCCAGTTCTAGGGAAATGTTTGAGGGAGGTCAGATTTTTGTGTCACTAAAATGATATTAGTTATGAGGTAGTTTTCCCTAAATAGGATTTGCTGAAGGAATATGACAGTATCTGTACCGTCTTGCACAGACTCTTGCAATGTTGGA